GAAACCCTATACAGGGTCGCTATGGGTCGGAACCGACTCGATGGCACATAACAACAACAACAACCACTCAGGAACTCCTAAGGGTTCCCAGCACTCTAGAAACACCAAAATTATGTCTTAGATGGATATCGAAAAAGTAACGGTACAGGTACTAGATTCCACATAAAAGTAAAACATTAATGGAAGAAGAAAAAAATGTACATACAGAGTAAGCGCAAAAGAGCACATGAGAATAACTTTCAGAACCAGCATTTTACTGATAAGGAAACAAGATTATGTGAGGAGGCATGTTCAAGGTCTCAAGCTCAAAGTGCTATTGGAGCCATTTCAAAGCCTTGTTTTAAAGTGCCTTTGAATCGGTTTCCACTCATAGTGTGACGCTGTACAGGGCTTCCCGAGGAGTGGCTGATGGGTTTGAACCGTCCCATCTTGTGGTTAGCAGTCCAGGGCTTACCTTACAGCGCCACACCCCAGGTCCCTGTTACAAAACCTAGGGTATTTATATCACACCAGGAGTTAGGAAAAGAATGGCAAGAAGAAATCAAGGAAAAGTTTTCACAGCTAACTGAGCATGTATTCTCACAACAGACATTCGATTCTGGACCATTCTCAAATTGGCATCAGCAGATTTGGATTTAAGACAAAGAGCAGTACCCAAACTCAAATGCTTGTTGAATGAATGTAAAATCGAAAGTTTGCCTATACATATAAGCTCTTAGGTTCCACCAGGGGCGTCATTGGCCTGACCTGGCCCAGATCCACAGACACTACACCGAAGAGCAGCGTCTCTGAGCTACATTCAGAGGAGCCTTCTGAGAATCTCGGGACGTTCATCTGCAACCCCAACCCAAACGGATCCATCAGGGCTCTCTCTGCCCAAGCTTCAATCGACAGGTGGCAAGGAACGTGTTGAAAGGCATAATCAAAGAGCACAGGTCTTGGAAACGAGGGGAAACTGAGGCATCGAAGCAGAAAATCGGATCCGAACGAGCATCAGTATATCAGGGAAGCCCCAGGATCACGCCGGAAAGGTGGCGCTCGAGCGGACAGTAGAGCACAGATACAGGCGCCCATCTCGGCAGGTGGCGGGGGTTGCTAGTGCCTTCGGAAGGCGAGCGTGCGGGGTGGGTTACAGTTGGGCTTACCTAACTCTCCCGCCCACCGACGGCAAGGAGAGGTTACAGCCACCCACCATCAGGTACGACTCGCGGCCCTGAAGCTTGCGCAGGCGCAAGGTCGCGGGGTGGGGGGGAAACTGAAGCCCTAACAGCCAATCGCAAAACTGAAGAGGCGGGCAAATAGAGCATCCCCGCCTACAGCTCGCGTTTGTTCCACCCGTGGCTTTCCAGGCGTAAGATTGGCGGAAGCGTGTAGTTTAGAGACCGGAAGTAGTTGACGTACCCGGAAGGGAAATCCTTTACTGGCTGTAGTATTGATGTTTTGGAGCTGCTGCTGCCACTGCTGTTAAGGGAACCGTCGTACTCTAAAGGATGGTGTGCGAAAAATGTGAGTTACAGAATTATTCCTGTGGGAAAAGGGGGCTAGGAGAATTTATCTGGACTCTGCCGACACCTTTACCCATCCTTTGTTTTTCCTTTTCCCGCAGGTCTCTATTCTAGCCTCTGTTCTCTTACCCTACTCTTTGACTGTTCCTGCTCCTTTTCCAATGACCATAGATATGCCAAACCATACCCACTCCCCTCGACCTGATTCCGACTCTTAACGACCCTGAAAACCAAAACCAAACTCACTGCTTTCAAGTCGATGTCTACTCCTAGCGACCCTACAGAACATTGTAGAACTGCTCCATTGAGTTTTCGAGACTAATCTCTACCGGAACAGCCTCCTCTTTCTCCCACTAGTAGCTGGTGGCTTTGAACCGCCGACCTGGAGGTTAGCAGCCCAATGTTTTACCCAGTGCGCAACCAGGACTCCTAGCGACCCTGTAGGACAGAGTACAACTGCCCCATAGAGTTTCTAAAGTTGTAATCTTTACAGAAGCAAACTACCACATGAGACTGTCAAATCTTTCTCCCGTGGAGTGGTTGGTGGGTTCAAACTGCCGACCTTTTGGTTAGCTGAGCAAATTTCACTACTCCGCTACCAGGACTCCAGTTGTTGTTCTTAAGTACTATCAAGTCAGTTCACACTCAGTGACCCCCTATATAGGTTTTCCATGGAGCGGCTGGTGGGTTTGAATTGCCGACCTTGAGATTAGCCGGCCAGTACTTACCCCACATCAGGACCCCAACCAGGGCCCCTTGTTGTTAAGTGCTGTCGAGTCAGTTCCCACTCATAGAGACCCTGTATAGGGTGCCCAAGAAGAAACTGGTGGGTTGGAACCTTGCAGTTAGCAATCCAGTGCTTATCCCACAGCGCCAAATCAGGACCCCAACCAGGACTCCTAGCGACCATGTATTTTTCATTCTGAATGGTCTCAGTGCTGCACTTGTTTGTCTATTCTTGTGACTTACCCCAGCCGGACATCTAGTCCTACATAGCTTCTTGATTGATTCCTTTGCCTCACAGACCTTCAGGATTGGAATGGAGTTTAAAAATCACACCTTTAGTATCTTGAGTTGCCAGATTGAGCAAATGAAAACACAGTATGCCCAGTGATTTTCTAGTACGAGTATGCCCCATGAAGTATTTTGGACCTGACTCTGTTTCTTGTTCCATGCAATATTTAGGACATACTTTACTAAAAAATGTTATTTATCTGAAATTTATGTTTAATAGTCAGGTGAGTGGAAAGACTTTGTTACTTTGGACATGTTATCAGGAGGGACCAATCCCTGGAGGACATCATGCATGGTAAAGTAGAGGGTTGTTGAAAAGTGGAAGACCCTTAAAACATGAATTGACACAATGACTGTAACCATGGGCTCAAACATACATACTTACTGTGGTGCTGGACTGGGCAATGCTTTGTTCTGTCAACCTTAAGTCAGCCTCCCACCCAATGACTTATGTTGTTGTTAAGTGCTATTGAGTTAGTTCCAACTCATAGCACCCCTGTATAGGGTTTCTAAGCAGCAGCTGGTGGGTTTGAGCCACTGACCTTGAGTTGAGCAGTCCAGTTCTTATCCGACAGTATTACACCAAGAGTCCAATGGCTTAATACACTACATGAATACCTGTAGTATTAGGGCAGGCAGGGACAGGAGTTGCTCATCATTTCCAAGCCAGTGTATATAGCTATTGTTGGCTTTTAGGAAAATCAGCCCTCTGATGGTTGTCACCCCGGGATTCTAATACAGACCTTTGTATCTTGTTACTATAGAGTAGAACTCCTTCCTAGGGTTTTGGTGACTATAATCTTAATGGAAGCAGGCATTTTCTTTTGAGGAACTGCTTTGTGGTTCTAACTGCTCACCTTGAGGTTAGCGGTTCAGAGAAAACCATTTGTGCTACCTAAGGACCTTTTTTTGATCTTGCAAACCGTTCTTATGCTTAAAAATAACTGTCATGTACCTAAGTCTACTTTTTCCTAAGGTTAAACGTAGCTGACTCTTCTCTCATTATTATTATTATCATTAATATTATTATTAAGGATTTTTTGTATTATTACAACTTTGTTGTTGTTGTTGTTATGTGCTGTGGAGTCGGTTCCGACTCATAGCGACCCTGCACAGGGTTTCCAAGACTGTTAATCTTTATGGGAGCAGAACGCCTCATCTTTCTCCCTCGGAGCAGCTTGTAGTTTCGAACTGCTGACCTTGCAGTTCGCAGCCCGATTCGTAACCACTACGCTACCAGAGCTCCATTTATGTACAACTTTATGTAGACATAATTCACATTGTACAATTCAGTGGATTTTAGTATTGTTGTAGAATTGTGTGGCCCTCATCACAGTCCGTTTTAGAATATTGTCATCATCTCAAATAGCACATTAAACTTTTGACATTGACATATTTTAACTTTTCCATCCTGCATTGAGCAGTTTACTGTTTGGTTTTGTTCGTTGTTTTTTTTTAATGAATGTGACTTAAATATTTAAAAACTATGCACCTGCCCAGATTTCTTTTATATTACTCAATTTCTAAATGTGTAGGGGTGGCCTTGTGTTAATTATTTGTGTTAATTCTGTATAGTGTAAATTTGTTATATGTAATGCCTCAGTACTGTAAGTGCTTTGTCCCAGGGAAATTGAAAATTCTAGGAAGGCTGCATTAATTTCTCAAGGCATGTAATAGTTTGGGGAATCCAAAATCTGGTTTGATATTAAAGTGAAATATACATATTTCATTCTTGGACATGGTGTGTGTCATAAAAGCTCATTTATTTTTTATTCTATGCTCTTCTGTATGTCTAACCTTTTACTGTTTCTTTAGTTCAATACCTCTCTACCTTATATCACCTCCTTCCTTAAGTAAAAGCATACCCTCTCTATTATATTTTTTATACCTCCCGATCTACCTCATCACGCCTTTATAAATAAGCTCAGATCTCTGCTGTACATAAAGCTGAACTCTCAAGCAACCATCTGTCTTTATAGTCACTGTAAAAAATTTTAAAGACTTGACTACATTCATTGCCTTCCAAATTTTCTCAATTGTTTTTGAGCGCCATACAAACTTACTTCCACCTTACCGCACTACTAAAAGAACTTTGAAGCACCCACTGATGATCTAGTCACCAAGTTCAAAGACTTTGTTCTGGCCCTACTTTACTTCACTCTGGGCATCTTTAACATTATGCTCTTTAAGTTTTCTTGTCTCTTCTTCTTCTCTTAAAGTAGATGTTCCCAGTGGTCCATCTTTGAGCTTTTCTCCACTCTTTTCTGCTCTTTTCCTTGAAAGTGTAGGAGTTCAAGGTGCACATTTATACAGATGACTGTCTTATCCACATTGGCAGCTCTGCCTTCTCTTCTACCTAAGCACAAGTTGAACAGTTTTTCCTAAGCCTCTACCTGGTCGTTATCTGGCAGCTTACTGCCTTTCAGACTGACTTCAGCCTGCTTCACACATCTGTACCTTCTTTTTCATCATCTAATGAAATCATAATCCGTCCAGCCACCTGTACACAAAGCATCTGTCATCTTTCATTTATTCCCCGTCCCTTTCTAAAACCTACATTTAAACAGTTGTCATTTCCTATGTGTTTTACTTCCATAGTATAGTTCAGATTTTCCCTAGCTTGTCATTCCCCCCTCTAATGCCCTAGTGGAGTTCCCTATCACTCTTAGAATAATATGAACTTCTCCTGCCAGCCTCAAAGTACTCTCCCTGTTTCTGAGCCCTTCTCCCTCGAAACCATCCTGTGTACAAGGCCCACTGTGGGAAATTGCACTAATGAATCAGTTCACAACTTGAAAAAGTATGGTTTCTAATCTCTCAGATTGTTTTTGTTAAGTGCCATCAAGTTGATTCCAACTCAGCAACCCTGTATAGCGATTCTGAGGAATGACTGGGGGATTTGAACCACTGATCTTACATTTAACAGTCCATTGCGTATCCTACAGCGCCTCTTATCTCTAAGAGAGCCTTAATCTCTTAGATTTGTTGCTGTTGTTGAGTGTCGTTGTTAAATTCCGACTCAAAGCGATCCTGTATAGGGTTTCTGAGGAGCAGCTCATGGATTTGAACCACTGACCATGTTATTCAAACTGACCTTTTGGTCAAGTGCTTATCCTACAGCACCACACCAGGACTCCAAAATCTCTTAGTTAGAAACCATGTATTTGTAGTTCCTAATTTCTCAGTGTGACGTTGGAGTCCTGGTTTGGTACTGTGGGATAATGCACTGGACCGCAAGGTTGGCTATTCAAATTCACCAGCTGCTCCTTGGAAACCCTATGCAGGGTCACTATGAGTCAGAACCAACTCTGCTGCACTTAACAACAGCAGCAGCAGTCTCTCAGATGATCCCTGGTGGTACAGTGGATTAAGCATTGAATTAACTGAAAGGCTGGTGGTTCAAATCCATGAGCTGATCCTCAGGAGGAATATGAGGCGGTCTGTTCCTGTAAAGATTGACAGTCGCGGAAACCTAAAGGAGTAGTTTTACTCTGTTCTATGGAGTCATTATGGATCAGGAGTGAGCTCGTGGCAGTGGGTTTGATCTTTTAGACTCTCTCAGATAGATAGCTCTTACTTTTCATCAGTCTTTACTTAGCTTTATTCAGCTCCCACTCCTTTCGACTTAGTGACTGTTCCAGACCTTCCAGTTACTTTTAGCTTTGCATAACCCTCATCTGGGGAGTTCTGGTGTGGTGCTCTGGATTAATGCGCCAGACTGAAAAGCCATTTGAACTGCAAGGTCGGCAGTTCAAGCTCACCAGCCGCTCCTCAGAAACCCTATTCAGGGTTGCTGTGGGCTTAGATCGACTTGACGGCACTTAACAACAACAACAACCCTCATCTACTTAGTCACTGTTGACAATTACCTTTTTACATCTATATAGAAATTGAGAGTATCTGGTGGGAACATTCTCAACTTCTCACTTTTATTATACTATATGTTTACTCTTGAGTCCTGGTGTGGTACTGTAGGATAAGCACTAGACACAGGTCAGCAATTCAGACCTACCAGCCACCAGCCATTCCTCAGAAAACCTCTACAGAGTGACTATGAGTTGGAACTAACTTAACAGCACTTAACAACAACCCATTTGCTCTTACTTCCTTCTCATATGTCTTTGTTCCCATCCCCTCCCACCTCTTCCAGGTCCTTTAAATGACACTATCTGACTCCACAGCACACAGCCACCACCAGCATCTGCTCTGGTAGCATCGTGGTTATGAATAGGGCTGCTAATCTCAAGGTCAGCAGTTTGAAACTACCAGCGGTTCCACAGGAGAAAGATGAGGCTTTCTGCTCCCGCAAAGATTTACAGCCTCGGAAACCCTATGCAAAGTCACTATGGGTTGGAATTGACTCGACAGCACTTAACAACAACAACAGTCTTCTCTGATGTGGCGCTATAGGATAAACATTGGACCATAAGTTGGTTTGAACCTCAAGGTTGGTGGTTCAAATTCACCAGCCACTCCTTGAAGACCCTATACAGGGGCACTATGAGTCAGAACCAACTTGACAGCATTTAACAACAACAACATCTTCTCTGGAATCTTTAATCAGCTCCAATTCCATGTAAAAGAGCTCAAATCTTTTTCTAACTAAAAACATTACACCATGATTCTACCTATCTGTCTTGTGTTTTCTCATCTTCCCTTTTTATTCATGAAACCTGTATTTGTTTATTCTACTCTACTAAATGGTAGGCACTAGCACAGAAGAGAAATAATGACCTTGTCTTACCTCCTCTTTTTTTTTTTAAAGCTTTTATTATGAATTAAGTGATGGTTTACATTGTAGAAAATCAGTTTTGCACTCAACCAATCATATTTTGTTTCATTGCAATGATTACAATCCACTCCATGCACCATCAGTTAACAGTATCTGCGTCTATTCTTTTTTTTTATTTTATGTACACAAAAACATACAGGAATATATAATCATTTAAACAACCGAAGAACACATTTTACTAGCCAGCCTCCTGCTTGTCAGCAGACAGCCTTTCTCTTTCCACTAGTCTAGAGTCCTCAGCTGCTCAGTCTCTCCATGTCAGTCCCTCTGCCTCCATATCTGGTATCACTGCTTCTCTGGTTAGGGTCCCACATTGTTCTTCCCATGCTCTTCTCCCTTGATGGTCATAGAGTTCTCTGTTCCTGGAATGCAAGGTTAGCTACTCCCCCCTTTTTGTTACACAACTGCTACCTTTACAGTTGTGACAATCGC